AGGTTAACCTTCTGTGTCTCGAGGCTGAGAGGAGGCGCTTACAAGGGAAGTAAGCCAGGACGTGACGAAAGCAGCTTGGAATGCTGTGAGCTGAGTGAAAAGTGAAAGCAGCTTTGTTGCGCAGCTGCACACTGAGAGAGAAGGACGCAGAGAAGATGCAGCTTGAATCAGATGGAATTTCTTGATTGTAAATATGCTACTTTTGAGCAAATAAAGTGATATTAGGACAGAAGAAACGTGTGGGACTTGTTTTACTGCCCTTTCAACACGGACGCTGTGCAATTCTGCTAATTGCTTTACGACCTGCAGAGGCGCGCAGGGGAAGCGTGCCGGACACCGAACAATAAAGCAATAAATCTACCTAACAATGGTTATGGGTGAACGTGAAGCGTGTGAGAAAGGGCTTTGAAGCTTTATTTGCTGGACGTCAGCTTGATCGACTGCCAAGCAAGACTTCAAAGGGCAGATCGGAGGAGGCTGGCGGAGTGGGAGCTGAGAGCCACGTCGTCCGGAGTTCCCAGTTTGGCTGCTGAGTGAGTACCTTTGGAAAAGCCAACAGAAGGGAGGCAATGGCTCAGCCCTGTGAACATGGCTTTGAGTTTAAACTGCCATGTCAGAAACTGACTAGCCAAAATTGGTTGCAGTGGAGCTTTCAAGTAGAGCTTTTGTTAGTTGGGGAGCAGCTGTGGAATGTAATTCACCCCACACAGAATGCAGCTGGGAAAGCAGAGGCTAAGAGGGCTGCAGAGCAAAGTGAAGTTGAGAAGCGTGTGCTTGCTTTTTTGGCAGAAAGTGTGGATGCTCATCTGGTGCCTGTTGTCCTGGGTGCAAGAAAGCCAGAGGCCGCTTGGCTAGCACTCCAAGAAGCTTGTGGAGCTGGAGTGGGAAGCAAGGGCCGAGAAGTGGCTGCATCCGAAAGGGAGAGGCAAGATGGCGCCGGCCACATTCTTGAGAGCCGATACACAGCTGGGAGGAGCTGGGAGCCCCCACAGGGGGGCGAAGGGACTGTTGCTGTTGCTGTTGCTAGCAATGCTGCTGGTGCTTTTGCTGAGCCTGGGAGCTGTGTGGATGCTGCAACGTGTCTGTGTGAGGAACCTG